CTCTCTCTCTCTCTCTCTCTCTCTCTCTCTCTCTCTCTCTCGTGTTAGCTCTTAGTCTCATTGATTTGGCTACATTAGGGCTGCGTTCCCCGCGCCCACGCGGTAGACAATATTAGATATTTTACATACCTTGATTCATAGGTGGTGTCGAGGCTGGTGGCCCTTGAATCTTGGTCCATATGTCATATATGTGTTGTTGTAAGTTTTTTTTTTAATTAAATAAAAGTTGTTTTGTCACATGTGACTCCTTGAATCTTGGTCCATATGTCATATATGTGTTGTTGTATTTTTTTTTTTTTATTAAATAAAAGTTGTTTTGTCACATGTGACTCACTCAAGGGGCGTTGAATACGTCCACATTCAGACACATATGTTTGCACTTGCAAATGCAATGCAGGTGTGTGGTTTCAAACTGCGGCCAAGGCCGCGCCCTTTCCAATTCAGACTTTCCCACTTTTCTACCCTGTCGTTGCTTTGCCACAGTTTCAACCAAAACCCAGCACGCGGTCCCATGGGCAGCTACCGGTCCCACATTTTTCAAAGAAACTGCCACCCCCCCCAAAGATCCACCCGGCTGCTGCTTTGCCACCGTTTCGACCAAAACCCAGCGCACGGTCCCACGGCCAGCTACCGGTCCCACATTTTTCAAAGAAACTGCCACCTCCCCCCAAAGTGTCGTGCCTGTCTGCATTTTTCGAACCTTCCAACGACCAAACGAGCCCAAATCAACGATGGGTATAACGAAGGAAGAAGAAAATGTCTCGGGGGAAATGTCTCTGGGGGGGAAAACGCACCCCTGACGGGCTGCCAACAATGGGACCAGCAATGAGCCCAGTGGGACCACCGAACTTTTTTTTTTTTTTTTTTGTTTTTTTTGTTTTGGGAGCATCCCCACGGCAGTAGTTTAGAGCCTTCCATCAGGCAACATCTGGCGGACGGCGGGGAGATCCTCACGCTGATTTGCTCTTATCGCCTCCGGCAAAGCAGAATCGCGTCCGATAGAAAAAACAGAAAGAGATCTAAGCGCGGAGGTCCGGCAGAGCAGAATCGCGTCCGCCCGACTTCCGCCTTTTCCTGGTTCGCGCCCCTCAACGCAGTGCGCGAACAGGCGCTTGGCAGCTGCTCCATGAGGCGGCTGTAGTCCCACCGCGCCCCTTGTTTCCCTCGCCAATTGGAACCACGTGGAGCTCGTGGAATCCTGTGACATGCAGGCTCGCTGTTGCACCCTCTGTCGAGCTTCCTTCCCGTTGAATTCCCGCGATCGCGCGTCCCTCCCTGTTGTTCAAAATTCAAATTTCAATTCAATATCCAATAGCGAGCGCGATTGCCGTCGGTCAAGAAAAGGAAAGTACGCCGTCGATCCGACCGGATTCCACGTCAGATCAACCTGGCTACCAAACGTCGGAATTCCTCAAAAGCCCAGAGCGAACGTGATTTGGTTCGCACGGCGGCACCCAGGTAAGAGCTGCTTTCGTAATCCTCGAATACAACGCGTGCATCGTGATCGCGCGTGGGTGCATAGGGGGCTGGTCGCGAACTTGACAGACAGAGAGCATGGCTGCTACTGGCCGTTGCTGCGGACGCTCAATGATCCGTCAAATGGACCACGGTTTCTTCTGCCCACTTGTTTATACGTAAAGTAGGATGGCGTTGCATTTTCGCGTTCGTTTGCCGTGAGCGTGGTGCTTGAGCAAGTAAGCTAGGAAAATGTTGGGGCTGTGTCTGTGCGTGTGTGTGTGAGTTTTCGTCTGTGTTCGCTATACGCGGGTGAAGAAGAAGAGACTGTTTAGAAACCCTGCCGTCGACGACGTTCCCCAACTCGCCTGTAGCGGTGTGAGTGTGCGCGTGTCGATGAGCGCGCTCGCTCGCAGGTACGTGCGTCCGCGCGTGTGTGCATGTGTGTGTGTGTGTGTGTGTGTGTGTGTGTGTGTGTGTGTGTGTGTGTGTGT